TGAATATGTATAAATATTTTTGCTTGCATCATTCCCTAAACAATATACTATTGTTATAAGGAAAGGGCCTTCTGGGGAAGTGAGGCAGAATGAAGACCACATCTCACTTTCAAATGCTTATTCTTGCATTTATTGACTGGGTTATTTGTTTTTTTGATGTTAAGTTTTTTGAGTTCTTTATATATCCTGGAGATTAGGGCTCTGAGGTGTATGTGGGAAAAATTTTCTCCCAATCTCTAGGCTCTGTCTTCACGTTATTGATTGTTTAGTTTGCTGAGAAGAAGCTCTTTAGTTTGAATCCATCCCATTTATTGATTCTTGGGTTTACTTCTTGTGCTTTAGGAGTCTTATTAAAGAAGTCAGGTCCTGAGCCAACATGATGAAGATCTGGACCTAATTTTTCTTCTATTAGCTGCAGAGTTTCTGTTCTAGTGCCTAAGTCTTTGATCCACTTTGAGTTGATTTTTGTGTGGGGTGAGAGATGGAGGCTTAATTTCATTTTGCTACATATGGATTTCCAGTTTTCCCAGCATCATTTGTGGAAAAGGCTATTTTTTCTCCAATGAATGTTTTTAGCTTCTTTGTCTAGTATGAGATAACTGTATTTATGTGGGTTTTTCTCTACGTCTTCTATTCTGTACCACTGGTCTTCATGTCTGTTTTGGTGGCAATACCATGCTGTTTTTCTTACTATAGCTCTGTTGTACAATCTAAGGTCTGGTATTGTGATGCATTCTGCTTCATTCTTCTTGCTGAAGATTGCTTTAGCTATTTTGGGCCTCTTATTTTTCCAAATGAATTTCATGACTGCTTTTTCTATTTCTATGAAGAATGTCATTGGGACTGTTGTAGAAGTGGCATTAAATCTGTATAACAGTTTTGGGTATATGGCCATTTTGACAATATTAATGCTGCCTATCTGAGAGCATGGGAGATTTTTTCATCTTCTAAGGTCTTCAATTTCTTTCTTTAGTTTTCATTATAGAGGTCTTTCACCTCTTTTGTTAGGTTGATTCCCAAGTATTTTAATTTTTGAGGCTACTGTTTGAGAGTAGTTTTCCTAATTTCTCCTACAGTATATTCATCACTTATGTATAGGGAAAAATATGGAACACTTTACAAATTTGCATGTCATCCTTGCACAGGGGCCATGCTAATCTCTGTATGGTTACAATTTTAGTATATGTGCTGACAAAGCAAGCACTTAACTGGATTCTTACCCACAAATTCTTACAGATTTTATGATTAGGAGGAATCATCCTTACCTCCCTGAGTTTCAGGATCTGGTCTGTGACAAGAACCACAAAAATCTCCCCCTTCAGGGTAACGTGGGTTCCTCTTATGGACATTATTTTGGGCCTGCATTTCTCCTAAAGATAACAAGTAGTTTGCTGAGGAATGTGACATATCCTTCCTGTCTACCTAAGCCAGGTAGGGCTACAGGTAAACTGCTTCTTGAACACAATGTGCCCATTTTATAAAATTATTCCTTTAACCTTGTGTTCCCACCACTCACATCTGTTTGTCTCCTATCACTGTAACTATAACAGAACAGTTTGCTCAGAAGCAGTCTTTAACAGAATTACTTTCCCCTTCTCTTCTAATCTTTATCCTAATCTTTTTACAACTCATCCTTTTCACATGGTATTCTAAAGAGAGTCCTCCCCCTTAACAACCCTTCCTTTTATTAGCTCTTGTGAACAGACTTGCAGAAAAGTAATACCTTCAGAAAAGAAATTGCAAGCCAGGTGTGGTGAAACATGCTTGTAATCCCAGTGACTCTGGAAACTGAGGCAAGAGAATCACAAGTTCGAGGCAAGCCTGGGCAATTTAGGAAGACCATGTCTTAAAATGCAATAAAAAAAATATGGGGATGTATGAGCACTCCTGGGTTTAATTCCCAATAGGGCAAGGGACGGAGAGGCTCTACTTGATGTTCTGGGAAAGGATGAGACAGACAAGTGGAAACACAAATAATGAAGAAGAAGACTCACCTTGCAGGTGGATGTCTTGCCTCTTATCCCACTATACCTCCTTTTTCTCCTACAAAAACCCTTTGCACCCCTGATGCCCCTAGGAGAGATTTGAGATGAAAAAGTCTAGTCTGTATTCTTCACAGCTGGTTTTGAATAAAATTGTTTCATTCAACCAAGTTTTTTTCCCCCTCAAGTTTTAAGCTGAGTACTGAGCAGCACAAATACTGGATCCCTGAAACATAATAACTATTTACACAGCATTTATATTATATTAGGGGTATTAAATGTATTAGAGATGATTTAAAGAATACTAAATGATGTGCACAGGTTATAGGCAAATACTATGCCATTTTATATAAGGGAGTTGAACATCCACAGACTTTAGTATCTGAGGGGAAATCCTGGATCCAATCATCCTCTGGGGATACTAAAGAACTATTCTGATGTCTTAATTGATTAAGCGACAAGTTTCCTGTGTAAAGGTTTGACAAACCAGCAGTTAAGAATCCACCACTGAAGTACCATGTAGAACCATCCTATCACCCTAGAAATTCCCCTGGGCAGCCATTTTACCTCTCATAACATTTTCCAAATTTTCTAAATGGAGCAGGTTTACTATAGCAGTGAGAAAAAAATTAAAAATGTTAATTTTTGAAAGCATATATACACACTGAAAGATATTAAAACAGACTGAACTTGGAAGTCTCCCTCTGAAATTAAGAGCAAATTTCTCATGCTGAGAGGGAGCTAAAGGGTTCTCCTCCAACAACCACCACCACCACTATGTCCTAAGGAAGCTGAGAATGGAGACTGTCCCCTTCCCAGGCCTGTGCAGCACACTAAATCTATACATGTACACTTCCTGCCTTTTGTCTTACATCCTGCCTCTGCTGCCTGGATGCTGCTCTTCTCTTTTAAAAGCCTTGCTCACATTCAGAGATCTCAAAGATGGAACTTTTAAAACAATAGGTTTTTTTTCTGTCTTTTTTAAAAGCTAGCTTTGAATAAAATTTTCCTACCAATTTGACTCCAAATATTTTTGGAGCAGTGAGCAAACTTTTAGCCTAATCTCTTCCCCAGAGGTAGTATTAGAGCTGCCCACTAACCATTTATAAAAAGATAGCTACAAAATATTAGCCAAATTGTATATAGACAGTAGGATCCCCAACGATTTTCATTTTTTAAACTTTTTCTATATAGCTTTTCAGTTTTATGATGGGTATATTTCACTGTAAAATCAGATTAATTTCTTTCAAGAAGGCAGTAATGAGGATGATACATTTTAGAAAAGTTTTTGTGAAAAGTATTTGATTGTAAGTGGCAGTCTGGCAAGAAACATTCCACACATGCAAAAAAGATCTACAATTTGTTTTTAAAATCTAACAAGCTATTCAAAGTTTAGAAAAAGAACCCACTAGAAAAATGGGCAAAGTTTATGAAGAGAAAGGTTCATAGAAAAAGAAATGCACATGGTTTATAGACATAAACAGATGTTCAATGTCTCTCACAATTAAGGAAATGCATATTTAAACAATGATTAAATACCATTTCTACCTAACAAATTTTGATAAAGCAGAGTTCCTGAGGTGTGGCAAAACAAGTACTCATATACATTATTGATGAGAATGTAAATTGTAAGGCCTCTTTGGAGGGTGACTTAACAACATTTAAAATTTTAAATGCTCATTAGCTTTTGTGTCACAATTCTACTTCGAGGAGATTATCTTACAGTATGTGTTCATATGTCTTAAAAAAATACACACTCACACACACACATACACACACACACACAAGAAAGTTCAATGTCACATTAGTGGTAAAAGATAAGACGTAACCAAAAAGTCTTATCAGTAAAGGATTGATTAAACAAATTACAATATAAATCATTCAATTGAATACTAGGAAGCCATTATAAGCATGATGTAGGCTTATAAATAGGGCTAATAAAAAGAGCTGTAGGGGCTGGGGTTCTGGCTCAGTGGTAGAGTGCTCGCCTAGCATGCACGAGCCACTGGGTTCGATCCTCAGCACCACATAAATGTAAAATAAAGATATTGTGTCCACCTAAAACTAAAAAATAAATATTTTTTAAAAAGAGCTGCATACAAGATTCAAAACAATAATCATAGCATGTAACTATTTAACTTTTTTTTAGCAATATATACACATATGTTCCTAAAGACACACAGAAAATTTCTGTAAATACATAGAAGAAACTGCCAACAGTGGCTATCTCCCTGTAACAATGTTGAAGTTTGGTTGAAAGAATCACTCACTGTTCAATGTAGAATTCGAAAACTTTTTCATGAGAATGTTACATGCAATAAATAATATTTTTAAAAATATTGTAATCCATCAACATATTTATTGACCTGAACTGTCTGGAAAATCATTTACACTGAATTAAACATTCCCTCATAGTCTCAAATCTGAGAAATTCCCACAAATGTTTTAAATAAATATTCTAAAATTAACACCTAGTCCTATAATTTATTGTCATGAATCTGTAATAAGCTTACATTAAAAATGAAGTACGTTCATAAGCCAAATGATTTTTTTCTCTGGAAAAAAAAAGTCTATGTGAACAAAGACATGAATACTAATTCATCTCTAAAATGTTTTATTAAGTTTCTCTATGAGTACATTCATTAAAGCGTGTATCTTTTCAGGGAGAGTTAATATATATTGAATATCAAGCTTAAATATTTCCTCTAACACCATATTAAACAAGTACCAGGAGAAACTGTGACAAATCATTTCTTCTTATTTATATTTTCCTAGTACTTAATTCTATTTCTTACCTACTAAGTCAGAAATCACTCCTCCCCAAATTATAACTTAGTTTTATATTGTCTAATTGTGAATGAGAAGATGGTGCTTATCTTGAAAACTATTTTCTCTCTTACATAAAGGCTTAAATTTTCTACATACACTGTCACATGTCACTTCTATTTTGATAATATGGTTAAAAATGGATTTTGTTTGTTTGTTTTTTGCAAATTTCCATCTTTTTTTTTTTTTTACCTGCTATCAGCTTCTCTGTATCAGGTAGATGTGTGAACTGTCTTTTGTATTCCTCATTCTTATCTTTGTATGTTGAACTTGAAATCTGCAACAATAGAAAAATTTTAATTTCTGCTTAATTACAATTATAATATCTTAGAACATTAATAAAATTTAAAATCACATGTTTTTCTATGCAATATTTTATATGTCCTCAGATGAAAAACATGAACATCTCAAAAACACCAAGGAGGGAAAAAAGAACAAAAGAAACGACTTCCAACATAATAAAGAATTTGGCAATTCTATCTCTTCAAAAGTGAATATATAGCTGGAAAAAAAATATTAACAATCATCTCAAGTGGCTGGAAATTGATAAAAGATACACAATAAATTGTCAAATATTTGTTTATGAAATCTGAACTTGGGTCAGTAGAGCAGAAGTCTGTGGGCCCTCTTTCCTGGGCCTGTTCTCATAACCCTTTCTCCTCTACCAGTTAAGTTAGTGGGATAGTTCTACCAAGGTAGAACAAGCCACAAAAACTGGCAGCTATGTTGACCGAGGTAGTTGAGCTCACTGGGAGTGGAAAGCAGGAAATCTATGCCCGGAAGTAAAAGGGGAAACCCTAAATCTATTCAAGCAAGTATGAAAGTTTGGTCCCCACTGCTGTAAGCCAAATGACAGATGAGCAAGGGACTTAACAGAGAAATCTTGAAGGAAAGGCAGCCACAGATGGGCTTGATATACTCTCCACATATTCCTGGCCAAACAGAGGCTTACATGTATATGTAGAAGAGACTAGAAACAGCTATCCATTTATTCCTGGCTAGGGACACAAGAGATCTCAATAGAACATAAAAACTGGGACAAACTCGAAAACAGCCTAAACTTTGAATATATTCCCCAATCTATACATACTGCTGTCAGTAGAAGGGAAAAACCATACTGGCTCTATGCATTTGAACACATCGTTAAGCAAGCACTGAGTGACATGTATGGTGACTACTAGAAATTCAGCCTTAAAGAGAAAAACAATATAGTTAGGCATGATGGTGCAACCTTATAATTCCAGCAACTAGGAGGCTGAGATAAGAGCATCTCAAGTTTGAGGCCAGTCTCAGCAACTTAAGTGCAAGCCATAACAACTTAGTGAAACCTTTTCTCAAAATAAAAATCAGAAAGGACTGGGGGTATAGCTCAGTGGTAAAGCACTCCTGGGTTTAATCGTCACAAAAGATAGAAGAGAAAGAGAAAGAGAAAGAAGGAAAAGACAGAACGAAGGAAGGGAGGGAAAATAAATAATAAACTGAGCAGAAATGTTAGTTCCCACATGTCACAAAACAAACATATTTACTCTAGGCAAGTTATTAAACAAATAAATAAAAATCAACAATGACAATCCTTTAAGGAAAATGCAATCAGAATTTGGAGATGGTATATTATCTAAATAGTTCAATTTTCAGCAAAACTATAAAAAATGAAAAGAAAAGTGTGACTTATACTAAGGAAAGAAAAAAAAGGTAATAAGAAACAGTCTTTGAGGGTCCTCATACATTGGGTTTAGCAGACAAACATATCAAAGCAATTAAATTTGTCCAAAGCACTGAAGAGAATAATGCTTAAAGGAAACCAAAACAATGACTCCACAAGCATAGAAAATTTAAACAAATAGATTTTTTCGACAAATCTTTTTTAAATAAACAAATGGACATTCTGGAGTTGAAAACTACAATCCCTGAAATAAAAATTTCACTAGAGGGGCTCATACAGTGAACATGAAGATAGATCAGCATAACATCAAATATGAAGAACGGAGGGGGAAATGTTTGAAGAAAATAAATAGACTTTCAGACACCTGCAGGATAACATCAACTAAACCAAAATGCATGTAAACCAAAATGCATGTGTATCAGAAGGAAAAAGGAGAGGGCAGAAAAACATTTGAAGAAGCAATGGTCAAAATTTTTCAAAGATTTTTAATAAACCTCAAGTAAAAGAAACAAAGAGCATCACCCTTAGACTTAGAATAGTTAAACTACTATCTGGTGCCTTCACCTGAGGCCAAAACAATGAGGCTGCATAATCTTGGATTTAAACCTCCAAGACTGTGAGCCAAATAAACCTTTTTTTCTTTATAAGGTTAGTTGTCTCTTACATTTAGTTGTAGTAACGCAAAACTGACTGAAACATGTCCCATATAACAATAGCAGAATGCACTTTTTTTTTCCTAACTCACAAGGAACATTCTCCAGAGCAGATTATATCCAAGCCCTCAAGACAAATTTCATCAAATTTAAAGAATTAAACCATATGAGATATGTTCTTTGTGAACAACAGAATGAAACTAAAGTCTAACAACACAAGGACTAGATTCCAGCTTCAAATAATCTGAATACTTGAAAATGGAATGAAATATAGCCATCTCCTATTGAACTAAGGGCACTTAAACACTGAGTTATATCCTCTGCCTTTTTAAAATGTTGAGACAGGGTCTCACTAAGTTGTATAGGGCCTTACTCTGTTGCTGAGGCTGGCCTCAAACTTTTGTTCCTCCTGCCTCACAGTCTCCCAATTCACTGGATTATAGGTTTGTGCCACTACACCCAGCCAGGTTAATTTATCCTCAATTTTTCACTTTCTCTTATTCTAATCCACTACCAACACTCATTCCAAAAATATACTTTGGAGGTTATGGAATATGTCACAGATACTGAATCTCTGATAACTCTTCAGATCATTTTTTTTAATCAGATATCAACCATTAGGATTTTGGATTGCAAGATATCAGTTTATTGAATTTTATAGTATTTACATGTATAAATATGCACAGACAGTGTTAGAATACTTTAAAGTAAGAAGAGTTATTTTCGAAAATGATTATAGGGAATTACAGAAAAAGAAGGATTTTTTTTTTCTGCCTTGGAGATTGCATCCAGGGGTTTTCTACTACTGATCTATATCCCCCAACACCTTTTATTTTTTATTTTGAGACAGGGTGTTGCTAAGTTGTCCAGGCTGGACTTGAATTTGTGTTCCTCCTGCCTCAACTTCCTGAGTTGTTTGGTTTACATGACTGCTCCTAGTGAAACTGGGACCTTTAAGAACATAAACTTAAAATGTTTTAATATTTATTGCTTCAAATATTGTTATCTACCTCATTCTATCTCCATTTCATTAACAGTCTCCTAGAAGCACAGCCATTTTTAATTTTAATGAAGTCCAATATATCATTTTTTTCTTTTACCTCTTGAAATTTGGTGTCACATCTAAGAAACTATTGCCTAATCCAAAGGTCATGAAGATTTATAACTATGTTTTCTTCTAAGAGTTTCATAGTTTTAGCTCTTACATTTAGGTCTGTGATACACTTTGAAATAATTTTGTATATGGTGTAAAGCAGAGGTCCAATTTTGTTCTTTTGCATGTGTATATCTAATTGTCCAGGTACTATTTGTTGAAAAGACTATTGATTCCCTCATTAGATTATTCTGGCAGCTATCTCAAAAATTAACTGATCATAAAAATTTAAGAGTTGATTTCTGGATTCTTAATTTTATTCCATTAATATACAAGTCTAGTCTTATGCCATGTTGATTACTATAGCTATGCAGTAAGCTTTGGAACTGGGGTGTATGCATCTCCTAACATCATTATTTTTCAAGGTTATTTTTGGTAATTCTGGGTCCCTGGTACTTTCAGGTGAATTTAATTTCAGCCTGTCAATTTCTAGAAAAAAAGCCAGTTTGGATTTATATGATGGCACTGAATCTGTGGATCAATTTGAGGAGTACCACCCTCTTTTTACAATATTGTCTCCTAATCCATGAATATGAGATGTCTTGTCTCTTGATTATCTATTTAAATCTCTTTCAATGAGATATTATAGTTTTCAGTGTCTAGTAGTCCCTCTATATCACAGGTTTAACTGTCATGGTTTCTTGTAATAAACTGTGGTCTGAAAATATTAAGTAGAAAAATCCAGAAGTAAATAATTCATAAGTTTTAAATAACTTCTATTAAAATATATTGTTATCATGGTTAACTTTATTAATACTTATTGTTGTTCATTTTTTACTGTGCCTAACTTATAAATTAAAATTTATCATAGGTAAGTTTAGGAAGAAACATAGTATATATAAGGATTTGGTGCTATCCAAGTTCCAGGCATCCACTGGAGATATGGAACCCACCCCCTAAGAATAAGAGGGGATGTGTAATATTTATATTATCAAATATAGCCCTTTGATAATCTGTGGCAATGAGAAATTTAATACAATATTATATCTGTTTTGTTTAATTCATTCCTAACTACTAATTTGATTTTATTATAAATGGAATTTTGTTTTCTTAGTTCATTTTAAGGTTGTTCACTGCCAGTGTACAGAATTACAATTAATGTTGGCTTTGGAATCAGAAAATGGTTTGGGAAGTGTTGTTTTCTTTTCTGCTTTTTTGGAAGAGTGTTTAAAGAGTCTGTGTTAATTCCTTAAACATTTGCTAGAATACACCAGTGAAGTCATTTGGTCCTGAGCTTTTCTTTGTGAAAAGTTTCTATTGTTTTCATTTTGGTGGTTGGTGTATTTTGTTGTTATTTTCAATCTTTTTTGTGGGGCTGGGGAGTAAACCCAGGCCTTTACATATACTAGGAAAGAACTCACACTGAGCTACATCCCCAGACTGAAAGTTTCTTAAACTAAACAGATGACCCAGCCATTTGCTCTCCTGGACACTTTCTACAAAGAGAAAACCTGATGTTCATACAAAAACCTGTATACAAATGTTTATTGCAGCTCTAGTGTCATTTCTCAAATCTGGAAACAACTAAATGTTCTTCCACAGTGAATTTCAAACCATGGTACATCTTTACAATGGAATACTGCTCAGCATTAAAAAGGAATGAACTTTTAGCATACACACATAAAACCTAGATGCATCTCTAGGGAGTCATGCTGTGCAAAAACAGTCAATACGAAAAGATTACATACAGTTCCATAACATACAGTTAAGATTACATACAGTTCCATAACATTCTTAAAATGCCACAATTATAAACAGAGGGGGGGGGAGAGAGAGGAGGGAAGAGGAAAATGGTATTATCTATAAAA